TTCTTACTAAACCAGGGACACCTATTGGCAGAAGAAAGAAAGCATTCTTACAATGAATTTAGAGGAAATCTAAATGAACAAGTAAACTATAAATCAGCTAGGCCAGGGGCTCCAAACCCCATGGCTGCAGACCAGTGCCAGTCCATGCCTGGTTTGAAGCCAGGCGACTGTGAGCAGCAAGGGAGCAGAGAGACTGCATCACCTCCTGCATCACCGCTCTTGGATCTGCCTCCATACATGCTACATTTCAATAGGAGTGGATCCCTTTTCTGTGCTGCGCATGTGGTGGTCTCCCCTCACATGTACTTGAATGCCAGATTCCTGTGGAGGCCATAGCATTGGGGAGAGGCTACAGGAGGCTCTAGTAAGTTCTTTCACTGCACAAAACCCTCACAAAGTGACACTCTGCGTCTGGTGGCTGTGGAGGCAGGCTAGTGACACTCTGCATCTGGTCGCAGGTTACAGTGACAAGTGACACAATGCATCTAGTGGCAGGCTACAGTGAGAAGATGCATTTGGTGGCAGGCTACAGTAATCATTATGGTGACTTGTACTATTTAATTATATATTACAATGTAATAATAGAAATAATGCACTTCAGTCTTCCTGACACCATATCAACAATGGTGTCAGGATGATTGAAGAGCTAACGAACTCCCTCCCTGGTCCCTGGAAAAATCTTCTTCAAAGAAGCCAGTCCCTGGTACCAAAAAGGTTGGGGACCACTGAGCTAGGTAATCTACCACCCAGCATGCCCTATTTAGGACAGGGTGGCTACACTTGTACAGAAGCAGGTCAATCGTCTGCCCAGCCTCCAATATGAACATTTGACAGAGACAGTGATTCATTCAGGCCAACTGGAACTGTTATTCATAGCATTGTTTTTGTTTAAATATCTTGCCTTAGGTACCTTCAAGCTCTTGCAGAGCAAAATGATAATTCCATGTCAGATTTTCAAATGACCTTTTCCAGCATAACAGAACATTTATATGACTGAAGCTACATACTGTATGCTATTTGTGAAGGTGGCAATTTGTTTGTGGTTTGCCACTCTGCAATGAGACTGTTCAACTATTGTATTGTATGAAATCTATGCTGAAATAGATGTGAAGCAACATTTACTCCAATAAAACAGTCCTGAAAAATATGTTTCATGCTAATCATTTACAAAGAAAGTGACAGACACCAAGGCAGCTTTATTCCAGTTGATTTTCCTTTGGTACAAATATATGAGGTATATACAATGTGAGGAAAAACAGCAGTAAAGATCCAAACCTGTAAAAACACTATGTAACAAATGCCAGAAAATTGTCTAAAATGACTTGTCCTTTCAGTCCTCCCATTCATAGTCACAGATTGATGGCAATTGTAGAAATGGCACAAAAAAAACGATATACAGAAAATCATTGTATTTAGGTTTCCAAATAGTAAATGTCCAGTCAGGTAAATTCAAAGACTATAGGATCTCCTGTAAAACTGGCAGTGAATTATTGGTGATTATATTCCATAAAATTAGAAAAATGGTAAATCCATCTTTTCATCAGTCCACAAATAAAAAGAAAGTTGCTACATGAGTGGATGTCTACATTTATTCCTCCAATGTGGATTAAAGACTAACCTATATGGGCAATATTCAGTAACGTCAGTGAAAGATGAAACATTTCCCACTGTTACTGATTCACAGCAGTGGGGTTCAATTAGTGAGCTTTTCTGCTTTCCAATAAAGCTGAACTCCGGACAGACATAAAAGACAAAAATTATTACAGCTCTGTATTCATTAAGGCATCTCTCAATGTATGTATGTATATCAAGGGCCATGGATAAGGGGATACCACCAGTCCTCTTGTATGGGACCCAGGCCAGCAGGGGGGCCCAGGCAGCTGGGTGAAACGGATGTGGGCAGGGAGTATGATCGGCACAGTGGGGGGAAAAATTACTGGAACCAATCCCCTGTATGGTTCTCTCTGCAGCAGCTTCTTCTCCTTTCCCTCCTGCTGGCTTTCAGATGCCCTATACAGAGACCATTTCCAGTAATTCGTATCCCCGCACCCATTTCCCTTCCTGTGTGCCATAAATCTTCCCCTGCTGTCCAGGCCCCCCCCCCCCTCCCCCCGTGTGCCCCATCCCCACCTCTGCCGTCTTCCCTCCTTTCCACTGGCAGATGCAAGCACACAATAGGATAGACAGTGGGGGGAGGGACTAGTAAATATGTCACATTTACGCTTTCTTTCCTGAATAAACACAATGAGTACTCGGCACTGATCAGTCACTGTGTTCATTCATAACTGAAGCATAGTAAACTTTGTTTTTTTTGGGTGGGGGGGGGGGGGGCTGTCAGGTTGGCTGTATAGGGCCCCATGATTTCTAACTGCTGTCCTGTGTATATCTAACCTGGTATCAGCTTCTTACAGTCCCTGTACAGCAGAGCTCAAGCTGGGAGAGGAAGAAGTAGCACTAGAAGCACAATAAACCTATGGATAGGAGGAGAGACTAGGGTGATGAGCTCATCACTTTTCTGCTTCTGATTTCACTGTCTAGTCACAGACTAAGGAAAGAACAAAACCTGTGTTACCCAACTTCAGCAGTGAAACATTAAATCTCCTGCCCTACAAACATGGCTCTGGTTTGTGGTGGACTGCGTAAATCTCAGGATGGGATGGACACAAATACAAATCCTTTGGTAGGTAAACAACTTCCTTATATGTAAATAATCTGTGTAGTTAGCTGTATTTCTGGAGTTTAGAATTAAATGTTCATTGGCTCTTAAAGTGGTTCTAAAAACCTCAAGGTGTTTTACCTTCATGCATTCAATGCATTAAGGTAAAAAAAAACCTTCTATGTCACAGACTTACCCCTTCACCCCCATTACATTTACCTGAGCCCCATCGCGATCCAGCGCTGTGCATGAGAATTGAGGCTCTCCTGGCTTTGACAAGGGAGCAGGGGTGGGGCCAAGTCCCGCTGTCTGTGTCAATGGATGTACCACTGATGGTATTCACCTTCATATAGGTGGCACTTTGCCAGGATTTCTGTGCAGATCTGCCTCCCAGCAAAGAGTCAATTACCATTACATGACCTATGCAGAAGCCCAATGTTTGTGGTGGGACAGCAGCTGCTACCCTTGTTGTTAGTCATATACACTAATCATTTCTCTACTTCCTCTCATTGTGTAGGCATTGAAATCTAATCTCTGCAGCAATTTCAGTATACACAGCCAGAGCCAAAATGTATATCTTTATGTCTAGCACAGCTGTGCCCAGCAATATTAGATGCCCACCACATCAGTGTGACATCAGTCCAAGTGTAGAAACGGGTTAATAGGAGAGCTCATTCCACAATCTTACAAAACTACAGTTGGGGATTGCTGTGTAAAACCAGGTGTATTTAAACCTTCATCCCCACCCCCTCCTTTTGGATTCTATACACACATCCCTCTGAAATAAGAAAATCTTCAGTATTCATGGAGCAGGAGCAGCTGTGCGGCCACTTCCAGGAGCAGGTCTAGCTTTTGCATCTCTCCATGTTGCAGAGAACTAGATTTCTTAGATACATATAGATTTTTTGGTGGACATGGCAGAAACTGTCTGCTGTTTCCAGAAGTGCGCTGCACAAAAACTTTGAGAGTTGATCAGGACCATGCATTGTACAATCCATCCAGCTCTACTCAATCCACCCCAAAAATGTTGGCTTTAATCACATCATAAAGCAATGGAAGATTACTCAAACTTCATTCAAACCCATTATTTTCAAGGGTGGGCTCAGATTAAAAATAAACACTTATTCACAATTATATGGATACTTTATCAAATGTGAGACCAATTAGTTGTTTTTGTGGATTTGAAAGCACATCTATAGCCAAAATTGTTTTACCTCTCGGTTGGTTGTATTAGAATTGATAAAGGTGTAAAACTCCTGTCAGATTTTTTTTTTTATTGCTGTCAGTGTCCATGCTTCGGAGATTACCCTCCTTAGTTATACTGCTGACCATTGTTAATAGGGTTTTGTTCAAAAACTAAAATGTTTTGGCTACAGATACATTTTAAGAGTAAAAAGCTACAATAAAGGCAAGCAAGGAACACATCTGTGTTCTCACTTATACCAGGGGGTCAGCTGGACTGGCTATACACCTAAAAATAAATGGGTAATCAATTACAGATTAGATCATTTAAAAACAATATTTTTGTCAAAAAATGATTGATTAGCACAACAATTAAAAAACTTGATGTGGTTGGTTCTAATAGGATTTTACATCTGGACTGACTTCCCTTTTTACTACTTTTTTTTGCAAAAAATGATAATTAATTGATCCAACTGCCAGTTTAATGAATGAGATTTCTTAGAAATAGAATTCTATGATGGTTGTGTTGAACATTCACATGGTACATGTATGGCAAACGTTACTGTAAACTGTCAATGACAACCTGACAATGTTCAATTATGAACACAAGGTAAAAAAGGAAAATCAGCATATAGTACATCTTCTAATGTTATTCAAAAATACATTTTCAAAAATACTAAATTTTTTGTTTTTCTCTTTTTGACTTTTCCATTATAGCTATATTTATTTTTATTTTCTCTGTTCCAGAAAGCAAATTGGCAATTACTGTCTGGTCTGGAATACTTCCTTGTCTTCTGTATGGGGTAATGGCTAAATTCTTGGACTAACATGGCAAATCCAGACGGCAAGCCCTGTGTTCTCCTCTCTCCAGGCAGCTGCTTTTTTTGAGGCTATATTTTATTTAGGATATAATTGTTCATTTTGCAGTTTTGTAATACTGTAGCAATGCAATGAGTGATGAAAACAAGGTTTTAAAGTTACTGCAATCTCTGCTTATTGTCACACCACAATTATGAGTCATTGACATCTCCCAAGTGGCCTCTGTGTCAATAAGTTCATTTTGTGTTTTAAGCGGATAAAAATACATTTGATGGCTTGATCTCACAATCTTGATTCACTAAAATATTTTGTATTCATATTTTGTGCTGAAAATTACTATTGTTTAGAATAATCGGTGTAGCAACACCAGAAAAGCTGTGATGTAAACCAGTGGGTAGTTCATTTGATTAAAATGTGCTGATGACCGGCAAGAGTCTTCAGTGGTAAACAGGATCCTCCCTTCCACAGCAGGGTAAACCCGTACCAATTTATTAATGTAATTTCCAACAACTGCAATATCAAGATCCCCTGGGAAGGAAACAAAAAGGCAACAACGACAGTCAGACAGTGGGAAAATGTGCATGTATATATGTCAAGCTATCGTCTCTTAAGCGATGACCTCAGATATGACTGCTGTTCAAATTTATACCCTATAAAAAAAGCAACAGTTCAATGGAATTGTTTCCCTCTGCGTTTAAATGGAAAGTATAATGATAGACTCTTCAAAGGCTGCCCGCGCTAACCCTAAAAAGGAAACTATAATGGTTTCTTTTTTTAAAGTTCACAGACTGTTGCTTGCCTAGCTCAGACACACTGGTCTGTTAAGACAGGGACTGTGTTGGCTATGGCTCTTCTGAAACTCTTACACATGGTACTTTTAACCTCTTTTCTTTGGGGCAAATAATGCTTTTGTATTTTTTCAGTTCAATTTATTGATAAATGTCTAATGCATTATACTGTATTCATCATGTTTGACTGAATCTCCATAACCCATCAAAGTTTTCTCAAAGTGAACACTGCAATGTATCCATCATGTAAATCTTCTTTATTAATAAAGAGGGCAAAACATGACAGGTGCTACCTCTGTCCCTCCTCAGCCTCCAATTGTTACTCTCAGAAGTGATTCTGACTTTGCTCCCTATCTGTTCACGTTAATGGGCTCCCCACATGTCCTCACTCACACCGTCCTAGAACTCATCAGGAGCAGAGGCTGTCTGCAGTCTCCCTCTTATGTGCAGCAAACCTGCTTGTCATTAACTGGAATCTTCTCTTGAGTTTCAGAGACTCAGGCACCCTTTTACTGCCAAAACCATCATTTAGCCTGCCATGCAGTTTTACTGCATTTTCACAGCAACATACATTGGGGTTGATTTACTAAAGGCAGATAGGCTGGTCACTTTGCAGGAGAATTTTCCCTTTACTTAGTGAATGTAGTGAAGACTCACTTTAAAAAGAATACCCAATCATGTACAAGGGAAGAAAAAAACTGTATTTTTGCTTGCGCAGGATTAGATAATGGAAGTCAGTAGAACTTCACCTCGATCACTAAACTAAGGGAAAATTCCCTTGCAAAGTGAACATTTCCAAGTGAACAGCCTAATTGTCTGTAGTAAATCAACCCAGTTGCATCTTTGTTGTAGAAATAATCCTGACAGAGGATTCCCTGAGTACTACTGATTAAAAGATATGACATTAGTAATTTTCTTTTTTTTTTTTACTGATCTTAACAGGGGGGAGAGAGAGAGGGGGGAAGAGGGAGAGGAAAGAGAGAGGAGAGAGTGAGATGGAAGAGAGAGAGAAAAGAGTGAAGAGAGAGAGAGAAGTGTGGGTAGGAGCTGATGACATCATGCCACAAACCGGAAGTGAGCTGGCTGCCATCTAGCGTGAGACATTTTCTATTCAAATGAATGTATACTGTTGTTCACAAGATTATGAGCACTTTTTAAGTTGCGTTTTTATACTATTGGCTATTTTTAAATTAAAAACAGTGGTTATATGGAGAGCACTATATATTCCTTTTTTTTTATATATATATTTCTCTTTTTTGAGCTTCCTATTTATAAAAATTGAAGGATTGCCAAGGATGAAGGTGGATTGAAGGACATCTTTACAGAGTAGAGGGAAAAAACACTCCTGGTATATGACACCCTGCTTAAAAGGGAACGCGTGTGATACCTAATTCCTACTGGGTCAAAGCATAAGGTGAGAGTATTGGCGTGCTGGTGATCGTCATTTCACATTACAAAATAAAAGAATGTTTCAATGATTTATACATATGGTGACAGAAAATGTAAGGGTATACGACACTTTTGGAAGAAATTACTCACGGACATTCACGGTATAAAGAAAGAATGTTTGATTATGGACATGTTGTCTTGTTTCTAAGACCTCTTAAAAACAGAGACATGTTTGTTGCACAATATAGGTCAATTTTATTTTAATTATTTTGTGTAGTACTGAGCAGCACTGTTTTATATATGAATTCACTTGTGTGTGTAAATTTCAGCTTCAGCTATTGAGCTCTGTAGTCAAAGGACTTTTTACAACATGAGTATGGGCTTGTACACACCATGTTTATTGAGCTGTGTTTTTCTGCACCTCACTGCACATGTATGGTGTAAACAGGGTGTAAACAGGGAGCGGTTTTTGGTGTGCCCTGTTCACACCATACTTATGTGGTGCCGTGCAGAAAAACACAACTCAATGAACATGATGTGAACAAGCATTTAAGGAGAAAAATAAATGTGAAAGGGTGCCTAGAGTTTCATCCATTGCATATTCATATGCAATATTATATAATAACTTCACTATGAAAACATAAGAAATAAAGAAAAAAGGTACAAATCCACTACATATTCCCTTTAAGAAACTGCCAATTCTAGCAATATTCTCCCAATTTCACAGCCTGAATGAGCAATACTGAACATTTTTCATCAAAGAGGGAGCAAAAAGTACTGAGCACAGTGCTCATGGTATACATGACAAGTATTAGGTTTTTGTTGTTGTGTACCGTAATACTGCAGTATAGACATGTTCAAGGCACACTGATTTCATATGGTCTGCACATGGTTACCAGGGGGCCATAGAATTGTATAGAATAAACACAAATGTGCTTAAAACACCGTGTTTACCTTCTTTCCTGTATGTGTGGTCTCTTTTTATTTTTGAGTGCACAGCGTGCCCGTTGTTCAGTATGCATGCTGTTTATAAAAATTTATGTTTATATATGTTATTTTTTTCTGCACTGCTTCTATCTTCTGTCTTTTTTCAAAAGAAAAGGCAAGGCCCCTGGATTAAAAAAAGGTCCCATTGAACTCTCCTTCAATATACTGTAAATATACAAGGTCCGGATGTGTATAATGACTGTTATATGCAGCAGAATTCACTCCCATCCAAAGTGCTCTTACATATGATTACATTAGTGTGCCATATTCCAGTTTTAAAACTTACCACTGTCGTGTCTCAGGCGTTCACTTTTTAACATACTAAAGCCATCTCCACCCTCAGCAAGGAAGTTTGGAAGAACAATTTTATAAACTTGGTCCATTTCCACTGGAACATATCTCGGTACTCTGCATTTGGTACACATAGCTTCTAATTTGAGGACTCTCTGCCCAGGTTCTTTATCTAAATTGTACACCACTTTAAATCCTACAAAATAAAGAAACAGTCATATACTGTGTATGCTTATAGAGAAATTATTTCGAGTCTTGAAATAGAATAGAATCATTTTCTGGCAAATGGGATGTAACATTTTGCCAAAGAGCTATAATAAAATGTAGGTATGTAATTGAAGGTGGTTGACTATTTTTCGGCATGTTTTCGCATTGAATGAACATACACAGGAGTGAAACGGAGAATGCACTATATTCATATATAGAGTAGAAAGCTGTCTATCACTACTACGCCTATTATTAGCTAATATGTCTACACTTGCAGCCATGCATGTCTTCTGACCGCTGGTGTCAGTTTACTGTTAGACTGACGATACAGATTTATCGAATATACAGCTAAAAATGTCCAACCAGTCTACGCCTGTTTTCCTTGTAAGTGTGCCCCATACGCCATACAATTTAGCACACAGGTTTTTAAATTATAGATAACATCAAAACAAATGAAAAACTAAAGCAAAGTAAAAGGAAATCTAATTTTCAATATTTTACTTACATACATACATTATTTTATTTATATACATACATTACATACAAGATTATATGCATTGTGTAATCATTATGCATTGATGTAAATGTGAGAAAATCAACATACCACCCACTTGCAGGAACTCTCCAGTACTAGCACCATGGCGGTGTACACTGTGCTCAAATGCATTTTTTAGTGTAGACCCTTTAACTTCAATCAAATCGAATGTACCACCAAAAGGTAACACTGATAGCAAGTCTTCAGTAGTTATGCTACCTGTAAAACAAATAACATTTTTATTAGGTATTCTTTTTGTTAGAAATTATCGATGTAGTACATAGCAGCCCCCAGCCTCTTTCTCTGGGTTTCCCTGTTGGTGCTCCATGCTTCATCCCCCATCTGAGTGCCCCAATAGTGCCCCGAGTCTGTTTGTCTGGCCCTACCCCCTGCTCCCTCTTCACTGGTTGTGATTGACAGCAGCAGTAGCCAATGACTCCCACTGCTGTCTCTGAGTCAGTGAGAACAGGAAGAGCAGAGAGAGCCACTCCTCTCGGGGACAGCATTAAGGTAAAAATGTTCCACCATTACAACCACTTTAATATTTTCTTGAAAGTCAAGAAAATAAATAGTAATGTTTTGTATTCTATACCATGCTCCAACACTCAATATTTTGTGCCAAATAGGATAATACTTTAAGGCTGCATGCACACTGGTGCTTTGCCCCTTCAGCGTCAAATCCCAGAATTTCTGGGTGCTTGGGAGGCACAGGTGCAGCCCATCTGCAATCAGCCTGTCAAGGTCTAAAAAAAGCTGAAATTCTCAGTGACTGGACATGGTACCAAGTGACACTTGTATTTAGGGCCATGTGCAGTCAGGAGCCATACGACCAGCGCATGCAGCCATGTCCAGCTGCCACACATTTCAGACTGTCATAAATTTGGATGCTGCACCTGTGCCTCCTGGGTGCTCCAAAAGAGCCTGGATTTGATGCTGAAAGGCAGTTGGCGGGTCTGTGCATATACTGTATATGCAAGTCCAAGCAGCATATATACACTACTTTGAAAAAGTCTTAGGCAGGTGTAAAAAATTCTGTAAATTAAGAATGCTTTCATTTCATAAATAGAAGTGTTAATAGTTGATTTTTTGTTATCAATGAACAAAATGGTAAATAAATGAATAGAAGAGAAATCAAAATCAAATCAATATTTGGCGTGACCACCCTTTGCCTTCAAAACAGCATCAATTCTTCTAGGTACACTTGCACACAATTTTTGAAGGAACTCAGCAGGTAGGTTGTTCTAAACATTTTGGAGAACCAACCATAAATCTTCTGTGGATCTAGGCTGCCTCAAATCCTTCTGTCTCTTCATGTCATCCCAGACAGACTCGATTTTGAGATCAGACTCTGTGGGGGCCAAAGTATCACTTCCATGACTCCTTGTTCGTAATGTTGAAGCTAGTTCTTCATGACATTGGCTGGCTGTTTGTTTGGGGTTGTTGTCCTGAAGCAGAATACATTTGGGGCCACTAACATGCCTTCATGACTGTATGGCATGATGGATAAGTATCTTCCTGTATTTCTCAGCATTGAGGACACCATTGATTCTGACCACATTTCCAACTCTGTTTGCAGAAATGCAGACACTCATTGTACCACTCTCCAGCCCTTTGCCAACAAACTGCCTCCTGCTACAGCCAAATATTTAAAATTTTGACTCATCAGTCTAGAGCACCTGCTGTGATTTTTCTACACCCCATTTCCTAGTTTTCGTGCTTAGTTGAGTTTCCACATCGGAGATATGGCTTTTTTGGGCACAATTCTTCCATGAAGACCACTTCTAGTCAGACTTCTCTAGACAGTAGATGGATGTCCTTGGGTCCCAATGGTTTCTGTCAGTTCTATGGTGATGGCACTGCTGAACCTCTTCCGATGTTGAAGGGAAGTAAGCATGATGTGCCTTTCATCTGTTGCATTAAGTTTCCCTGACCAACATCTGCATCTACGGTCCTCAACATTGCCGTTTCTTTGTGCTTCTTCAAAAGAGCTTGAACATCACATCTTGAAACCCCAGTCTGCTATGAAATCTTTACCTTGAAGAGACCTTGCTGATGCAGAATAACTACCTTGTGTTTTGTTGCTGTACTCAGTCTTGCCATGGTTTATGACCTGTTATGTGAAACTGTCTTCCACAACCTCACCTTAGTAACAGAGTTTAGCGGTTCCTCACCCAGTTTTAAGCCTTCTACCATGCTGTTTCTGTGTTAGGTAATGACTGGTTTCAATCTACAGTATATATGAAATTAATGATGATCATTAGCACCTGTTTGGTATAAGTGGTTAATCATACACCTGATTCTAATCCTACAAACTCCCTGACTTTGTGCAAGTGTACAGAATTGTTACTGGTTTGAAGCCAAAGGGTAGTCACACCAAGTATTGATTTGATTTAGATTTTTCTTCCGTTCATTCACTTTGCATTTTGTAAAATGATAAAAATAAACAATTAAAATATATATTTTTGAAAGCATTCTTTACAGCATTTCTTAACATCTGCCTAAAACGTTTGCACAGTACTATACAGTGCCTTGAAAAAATATTCATACCCCTTGAAGTTTTCCATATTTTCTCATGTTACAACATAAAATGTAAATGTATTTTATTGGGGTTTTATGTGATAGACCAATACAAAGTGGCACATAATTGTGAAGTGGAAGGAAAATGATCAATGGTTTTCAAAAATGTTTACAAATAAATATCTGAAAAGGTCTGGTGTGCATTTGTATTCAGCCCCCCTGAGTCAATACTTTGTGGAACCACCTTTTGCTGCAATTACAGCTGCAAGTCTTTTTGGGGATGTCTCTACCAGCTTTGCATATCTCAGGAGTAAAGGTTTTGCCCATTCTTCTTTGCAAAATAGCTCAAGCTCTGTCAGATTGGACGGAGAGTGTCTGTGAACAGCAATCTTCAAGTATTGTCACAGATTCTCAATTAGATTTAGGTCTTGACTGTGACTGGGCCTTTCTAACACATGAATATGCTTTGATCTAAACCATTCCATTGTAGCTCTGGCTGTATGTTTACAGACGTTGTCCTGCTGGAAGGTGAACCTCCGTCCCAGTCTCCAGTCTTTTGCAAATTTTAACAGGTTTTCTTCTAAGATTGCCCTGTATTTAGCTCCATCCATCTTCCCATAAACTCTGACCAGCTTCTTTGTCCCTGCTGAAGAAAAGCATCCCCACAATATGATGCTGCCACCACCATGTTTCACAGTGGGGATGGTGTGTTTAGGGTGATGTGCAGTATTAGTTTTCTGCCACACATAGAGTTTTGCTTTTAGTCCAAAAAGTTCAATTTTGGTCATCTGACCAGAGCACTTTCTTCCACATGTTTGCTGTATGTGGCTTCTCCCAGATTGCAAACGGGACTTCTTATGGCTTTCTTTCAACAATGGCTTTCTTCTTGCTATTCTTCCATAAAGGCCAGATTTATGGAGTGCATGACTAATAGCTGTCCTGTGGACAGAATCTCCCACCTGAACTGTGGATCTCTGCAGATCCTCCAGAGTTACCATGGGCCTCTTGGCTGCTTCTCTGATTAATTTTCGGATGATGGATTGAACAGTGCTTCATGAGATGTTCAAAGCTTGGGATATATTTTTATACTTAACCTTGCTTTAAAGTTCTCCATAACTTTATCCCTATCCTGCCTGGTGTGTTTCTTGGTCTTCATGATGCTGTTTATTCATTAATGCTCTCTAACAAACATCTGAGGGCTTCACAGAACAGCTGTATTTAAACTGAGATTAAATTACACAAAGTTGGACTTTATTTACTAATTAGGTGACTTCTGAAGGCAATTGGTTCCACTAGATTTTAGTTAGGGGTATCAGAGTAAAGGGGGCTGAATACAAATGCACGCCACACTTTTCAGATATTTATTTTGAAAGCCATTTATCATTTTCCTTCCGCTTGTTGGTCTATCACATAAAATCCTAATAAAATACATTTAGGTTTTTGGTTGTATCATAACAAAATGTGAAAAGTTTCAAGGGGTATGAATACTTTTTCAAGGCACTGTATGTGTACAGCCACCAATTGACAATGATTTGTACAGGATGATTGGCAGCAGCTGTACACTGCACCTGTCAGTTCCGGCAGAGAAAATACAGTTGTATTGTACACTATAAGACCAATGGCAGCCATGTGCATGAAGCTTAAATAGTAACTGTCACTTGGGCCATTCAGGACAAAGTGACAGTCTCTGCAGATATTTCACAACACCCCCCTGGTTGTTAACCTTTTTGATCCACACTTCCAGGCCACCTTCCCCATGCTGCCGGAGTCCTTACTAACAGGGTGGGACTTCTGGGTATGAATGAGCATGGACAGCCAATCACTAGGCTCAAACACTGTCACATGCACCCCCCTGTCTAAGCTCCAATAACCAAGCAACAGACAGAATGCTGCAGAATAGTGATGCGGGAGAATGGTTTAAGTATGAAAACCTTAGGGGAAATGTGGGCTATCTGCAGGTGCCCAAATCTAACCCTCAGCTTTCTCTTTTTTGCATTGCATTCTGTGACCCTGCTGGTGGGACCTCCCACACTTTTTGCCCATGTGATTGCAAGACAAGAAATGAGGAATATGTGTTTTACCAGTATATGAAGACAGGCAAAAATCCCAGAAAGTGCTACCCTTCATAACTCTGTTAACAAAAGGTGCCTGAATGGGAACAAAAATGACACTAAAAATCCAGAACAGTTCCAACCCTTCCCCACTGAGTTTAAAACTAAGAGGATGTTTTGGTTGTACAAAATGCATACAACCAAACTAAGGAGTATCACCTCATAATTCAATAATTTAAAGAATTCCAAAAATACTACATTAAACACCACTCATATACCTTCTCCCTCCAGCTAGAAAACAAAATAAAGTACAAGATGTAAACATTTGATTTGTATTTTTTTACAGATTATAACATGTTTATAAACAAGATAAACACTTGTATCAAATACTAATAAAGTGCAGCTTCACACTAGGAATTGCACAGGAACATGCTAAAAGTAGTAAATGCACTACTTTTGTAAATGTACTGTAACGGATCTGCATTTAGGACCTGTATTTGGGATGACATTGACAGCCGCTGCAGATTGCAGCTGCGGTGTGTTTTAAATGTGATTTGGGAAATGTGAACGAGACACAGGTTTACTGCACCTCATTCTGGTGTGAATGGAGCCTAAAGCTGGCTATACATGGATTAAAATTCAGCGGGTTCA